TCAGGAATATCACGTAATGTCATAATATCATAGAAACTTTGTGCCAATAAATTGGAAGTTTAAACACATACCGTCTTGGCCAGGACCTGTGATGATCGGGGTCTTGACAAGTAGTCTAGTAGCGCATCCTCGACCTTGCGCGACCTCTTTGTGCCGCGCTGTGAGGACGGCGGACCACTGCTGCAGGGCGTCTTGACCGTGGAGCCCGTCGCCGAGGCCCCGTCTTCCTCTGTTTCCCCCTCGACCTCCGGCTCTTCCTCTTCCTCGGTGTCGGAGGCCCTGGCAGGCAGCTGGAAGCAGAACACAATTTTATTTGGAAATCACAGACCAATAAATTAATACTCAGCACGTGTACACAAGAGGATAAGAGGAACTTGTATCCAACACAAAAAAAAACGCAACGCTTACCGCTCCTGTGTCCTGCGTGTACGACCTCGGCATGATGTATCGCCTCAAGAAACGGAAACTCGCCAACTGCCACTTCTTCCTGGCAGTCAGGGGCTCTGCCGCCTGGCCCGAATTCTTCTTGTAGAGCTTCCCAACGGCAGATCGCTGGTTTTTGAACCAGCCCTGGATCTTGGTATCTGAGATCAGCATACATAAGGCAAATGTCATACATTAACAGATTTTAAGTATTTGGATGACAAATGTAGCATGAAATAAGAGCAACAATTAATACTCACACTCTGTGTCAAGTTGCCCGGCTATGCCCTGCAGGAGCTTCTTCTTGAATGCTATGTTGCTATAATGCGGAGAGGCCTTGTTGTAAAAGCAGTCATGGGTAGCGAAGAACGCCACCAGCTTCTTCTCTTCCTCCGCCCTGAAGCTGTACGTCTGCTGCAGTTGCCTTTTCCCCGTGGACGTGCTGGCCATGTCAGAGTCTTGCCCTACTTCTTCCTCTTGATCTTCTTCTGCCTCTGCCTCCCTCTCCAGATCGGCCTCCTGTTCTTCTCCTCTTTCTTCTTTCTCCTCCCTTCTCCTCTGCTCTCTCGGCTTCCTTCGCTTCTGCACGCGCTTCTTTTCCGGGCAGGAAGTTGGGCTATCGGATGTTTCAAGGTCATCAAACTGACAAGAAGAATCTGTGTTTTCTACGGATTCCTGCACAAAACCACAAAAACAAAAGACTTTTAAATGTGATCAACACCAAACTGTGTTTATGATTCCATCCAAAACACCTTAAAGTACAAAGAACACATCCACTCCAGAATTGCTGCACTCTAAGACAATTTTACGACAAATTATGCTAGATTTGGTGGATCTATGATCAGTCGGCGTAATTCGTGGCATCAAGACTGAAAATGCATTCATGGAATATGGTGACTTTGAATACTGAATACTTTACACAAGGGTGCTGTTGGGGCCCCAGAAGGTTCCTTTAAGTGTATATAAATGGATCCATATTTGCTCCTAGAAATATAGTCTTTGGTCGATCGGTCCCCAATTTTTGAGGCCTCTAACATCAGTACAATTTGATGTGTAGCCAAAAATTAAGAAAGTGGAATCTACTATAGCCATTCCACTGCTCGGATCTGCTGTAAATAATTTTGACTGTGTCTTGCCTAAAGTTCACGCCTCTGGAAGTTATATTTGTGGCCTAAAAATGGCTTTCCATGTAAGACATTTACAGTCTGAAAATGCAAAAATTCCTGAAAACATATCAGACATTTTACAGAACTCAACTTTGGCTCCCAAATAAACAACTGAGCACATACACTCACTTTATATGAAAATATGCAGAAGGTTTCTGGTGCACAGACTATAAAACGGGTGTGACCAACTGTAAATGGGGACAGTAAGATATTGTCTCATAGACAAGGCTTGAATGACAACTGATGCTCGTCTGTCATCCAGGTTTCGGTTATTCACGTAGTGTGATCGTAGCAACTGGTCTTGCTGAGTTTCTTAAAGACCTCTCATCAGTTCTGACTGACCAGTTCCAGATACTCATATTCTTCAGGAGCCATTAACACTTGAGTTTCCGTTTCAACTGGGGGGTTGCTGCTGCTCCTCCTCATTATGTGAGTCAATAGGGCCACAAAGGGGTTCGTTAGGGTCTTTTGTCGCTAGGTGTGAATGGGGATGCCTCAAATCTCCACCTCTGCTAAGTGATGGTCTTTCCAGTTTGGCTTCTTTCACTCCTCTCTCAAAGCCTCCCTGGCTAAAATCTGTTCCCTATTGTCTTCAAATGAGTGTCCTTTGTCCTGAAGATGCCGATGGACTGCTGAGTCCTGTCCTGAGGAGGTGCTGAAATGTCTTCAAGAAACTCAAGCAAGTCCAGTTGCTTTGATTAAACTACAAATGCTCATCATAATGACCTCAACAGTTAGAGATCAGTAAAAACAGCTCCGTCCTGACATTTTCTCAATCTGTTGGGATTCTTCTCTGAGTGTCAAACAGAGAAAAGGCAAATGTCTGCAGCAAAAGCACCGGTTTTCATCAGAAGAACCCACCTAATGACAGACTAACGGTTTCTTCCATCTCTTAAGAAAACCCTGAACAAAACAGAAGCCCGTTCACTTCATGATTTTACATCACACTGTTACAATTTGCACAATTATCTTGAAGTATTGTCTTGATAAATGACGTTTATGTTATTTTTTTACTACGTGTTACTTAACTGCATGGAAGAAAATTAACTGAAATGATTTTATTTTGGCTCAAATACATTCGTATAGACTAGGGGCATAATCAATGAACGGGTTTGAGAGGAAAAAAAGTCAAATTCACCGATTCCAGCTACTTAAATATGAATAATTTCTGCTTTCTTTGCTCCTCCATGACAGTAAACTCTGTGGGTTGTGGACAAAGCAGGATTTTTTAAGGAAACACTGATAAACATGACATAGTGCAAAAAATAAATAATTAATTGACTAGTTTAAAAAATAATGAACAATAGAAAAACTTGAGGCTCTGCATTGGTCCACTTAGATGAAATACAGATGCATGCTGCTTTAGCTCTAACTTATAATTAATAATCACAGAAACAACTTTATTCACTACAGACTGTGTTCTGTTGGGATCAAACCCAGTCTGAAGTGCAGCAGGTTGGAGGCTTCTAGATGTTCCAGTACACTCACCACATGTTGGAGGTTCTCCAGAACTTCCTCCGGCTCCGACTTGACACTCAGCGACGGGACAGAACCGGGCTTCAGCCGTCCGGTCGGACTCTTGTTCACGAAGCAGTCG